CATTGTACAGTGGCATTAAGTGCACCGAAATGTGCACCTCTGCCTACCCCTTCGGGGATATAAAGGTGTGAAGTTATGTTATGTTTAGATTATATGACTAAGTATAATTTTACGTTATTTCTCTATAGTATAAACCCTATTCTACTGCATTAAAACTTAAAATGATAATTACATTTAAGTATAAAAGGATCATAGTAATAAAATTATGGATATACACCGTGATATTTTAATGGTTGTTTTCCCACAGTAAAATGATTCTATTTTAGTAGTACAATAGATTGAGAAAGTTGTTTTTAATTTAAATAAAAAAATAGCAGTTTTACGATAGTGATACACGAAACTTGAAAGAAACCGCGAACCAATAGTACCGCCGCGACCGGCCACCGGCCGCTGTCATTGTCGCTCGCGCTTATCAAAAGGCTGATAACTCAGTATTTACTAACAAGTGATTTCCATTTTCCCTTCATACTTTAACGGGCTTAGGACCGTCGTAAATACTTTTTAACTACACTTACTAAACACAAACATAAAACAAAATTTAATCAAGAGATATTATCTTGTTTATTACTGAATTTGGGAAAGTATTTATGGCGTATTTAAAAAATGGGAATCAACGTATTTACAATGATTTTAATCACCTATCTTATTGTTTTATTTACAAATGTACAAGTACTTACACTTCCCGGTAACGGAGCAATTGTTCAAAGTGTAAGCCACCGCGTTCCACACACAATCGTGCACGTTTTAACTGATTGGCTTTCAATTTTAATAATGTGTCTCTGTCACGTCTAATCACATCAAAAGCGTCCACTATCGCACTTTTTAACGCGTCGCGAGTTTCGTACTCTTGCCGATACACAAGGCGTTTGAGATTAGACCACAAATAAAAGTCTAGTGGAGTAAGATCCGGGCTTCGTGGTGGCCATGGCACTGGCCCGCCACGACCGATCCAACGCTGGGGAAACACCGAGTCGAGGTGCTCTCGCACGGCGCGCTGATAATGCGCAGGGCAACCATCGTGCTGGTAATACAGGCCATCCATGGGCACTGCTAACGGAATGTCATCTAGTAAGTCCGGGATAACACTACGTAGCATTTGTAGGTACGTTTCACCGGTTAAGTGTCCTGTCACAAAATGCGGACCAATTAAGCAGCCGTTTATTATACCGGCCCACACGTTTACACTAAACCGCACTTGATGCGCACATTCCCGAATAACGTGTGGGTTATTAAAAGCCCAAAAATCATAATTCGCCCTCGCGTACAATTGCACCATAGCTACGTACTCCACATTAGAAAAAACGTAATGGCGATCCATTTTGGCGGCAATAATATTGTACTGCGCTTGCGTGGTTGCGCGGACGGCGTTCGCGGTGCGACTGGTGTGAATGAAAGCGGTGCGAGGCGATGCGGGCCGATGCGAGTGACAGAGAGCGCGGTGGTTGCCTTTGTTGTTTGTCGTGAGGCGATCCGCTCGCGCGCGCGTGCATTGCAGTTTATGCTGTATTACTTAGTCCGAGAGATTATTTTACTATGAACATTGATTTGACGTCACATTTTAGAAGAGAAACTATCGTTTCTCATGCTTTCGAGTTGATGATTATTTTTTTGAGTATATGAGGAGAAAAAAAATTATTTTTTCAAAAAGTAACTTGCATTATTCGATAGTACTACTAAAGGGAAATCGTTCTGCTGCGGGAAAACAACCATTAAAATGTCAGCGTGTATATAAGTCGAAGTCAAAATCATTTATTTCAATTTTTTTAAGGGGGGAAAATCATCGAATGACGTCCCTCGATTTATTTTAATTAGACCAGAAAGGCACTTTTAAACGTCAACAAAAAATTACAAGTATTTGCTTATTCCAAGGTGTAGATTCCTATGGAGTAGAACGAGCAAGAAACTCCATAGGTTACTCTTTTTCAATCATGTTCACAATACAATTGGAATGATGACAGGGTATGAATATTAAAAAATCTAATTAGTCCGTAAGTTAGGTAATGAAAAATATTAGACACATATTTTTTTATTTTGTCGTATAATAAAACAATACTTAGACAAAACGAATCAAAGTTTAGGAGTGGGGGCTAAAACGTCATTTCTACGTTAAAAATATACCTACATAGAAGTGACGTCACGCGACATTTCAAATCAATATATCGTCGAAAGTATTCGTTTCTGTAAGAAAATAAAAAATACGTGTGTAATGTTTTAAAATAATCTACCAGGCGGGCATTAAAATAAAAATTAGGCATCTACCCTATTCTCTAGTTACATAGTTATGTAGGTTCGATTGTGTGAGAACAATGTAACACCAAAATCCAGTCTGAGGGGAATATGACTCACCTCCTCATGCCTCATCATGTGGGTCTGGTAAGTATCCTTAAACAGGAACCCGAGCGCACAGTTATAGCATTTGAACTCTGCTTCTAAATACTTCTTGTTCCTTCTCTGCTGTTCTAATTCTGCCTTCTGCTCCTCGAAAGACAGAAGGATCTTCTCGAACGCTTTGCTTTTAGTTTTTGGCGAGTTTTTGTCTGTTTTACTGTCTGAAAAGATGACACTGATACACTGTAGGTACATTCTAGCTAGACTTAGAAAATCTTAGTTCTAGAATTGGGATGTTAACAGAGTATGAAAATTAAAAATGTAATTAGTCCGTCAGTTAGGTAATGAAAAATTATTAGACACGTATTTTTTTATTTTGTTGTATAATAAAACAATACTTAGATAAAACGAATCAAAGTTTAGGAGTGGGGGCTAAAACGTCATTTCTACGTACAAAATGTACATAGAAGTGACGTCACGCGACATTTCAAATCAATATATCGTCGAAAGTATTCGTTTCTGTAAGAAAATAAAAAAATACGTGTCTAATGTTTTTAAATAAACTACCGGACTGATATTATAATAAAAATTAGTCATCTACCTTATTAGCTTGTACTTGCCAACTAGTAAAATTCAATACTTTTTTTCGAACTGTCAAAAATGACAGTTTTCTGTGAATTTTGTACGAGATTGTGTATTGTGACGTCACGTTTTTTTAGCGTTGAACAGCATAGTTATTTCTTAAAAATTTGCAAAAAAATACTAAAATTAAGTTGGTCATAAAATCAATTAATGAAAATGTGATTGTTTTTTAACATTTTATTGTATTGAACAGTCAAAATAATTTATTTTTGACTAGCAACCCACCCCGGCTTCGCACGGGTGCAATAATCAAAATACAAATAAACCTTCCTTAAAAATCAGTCTATCTATTAAAAAAAACCGCATCAAAATCCGTTGCGCAGTTTTAAAGATCTAAGCTTACATAGGGACAGACAGACGGCGGATAGCGACTTTGTTTTATACTATGTAGTGATTAAGGAAAGTACACTATTGCGAAAAAATAATAATAAGGTACAATATTTCTTGATCATTTAGTAATAATAGAGATATTATACATACCAGCCTCTTCTTCAACTTCTTGAACAGCACATTCATTTCTAATTTCATTTAAACACTCATTTTTCTCTTCGGCATAAAATTCAGAAGACATACCAACATTATTAGCATTTAAATCGTTATTTTCATAATTATTTGTTACATTATCTTCTTGTATTTGTTCTGTATTAATATTATCTAATTCACTATCATTATTAAACGTTTCACCATCGTTATTGTAAGTTTCACCACCGTAATTAAACATTTCGCCACCGTTATTAAATGTTTCACCATCGTTGTTAAACAGTTCATCACCAATCGTTTCTAAACGATCATTTGTACATTTTTCAGCTTCTTTAACAGTATTTTCATGAAAAAAATCATTAGCGTCATAGTCATCGCGGTCATCTTCGAGTTTTATATAATCTTGGCTGTTTATACTTTGATCTTTGTTATCTATATATAAATTGTGTCCGCCTGTTCGAGAGCATATTTCTTCTGTACATAGTATTATCGGTTTTATGATACTTCTTTGTAAGTTAACGGTACCTTTGGCGCTGAAATAAAAAATATAACAGGTTTTAAATCAACATCATCAACAGCCTATAAGTGGCCACTGCTAAGCAAAGGCCTCTCGTACGGAGAAGGTTTGAGCAATAATCACCACGCTTGCTCAATGCGGGTTGGTAATATTAAACTTATAATTAGAAATTTACGGTTCACGTTACTTGACCTTGCCCGGCAGTCGCACTTGCCACCACTCTGCCATTGAGGTAGTCGAAGCTAAACAGCATCTTTGCATCATCAGAGGCCAAGTACGAGTTTCATTTAAATTTAAAGTATTCGAAAGGAGACTGCCTTCGGCGCTCTCATTGGTTAGTTCATTGGTGCCGACCAATCAGAGGCCTTAGTACGAGTTTGTTTTACGTTAAAAGTAATCTTAACGAGTACGCGTTCGGTGCTCTGATTGGTTGCTTCATAGGCGCCGACCAATCAGAGGCCTTAGTACGAGTTTGTTTTACGTTTAAAGTAATCGAAACGATCTCGGCTTTGTTAATAACATAACATCACGCCTTTTATCCCCGAAGGGGTAGGCAGAGGTGCACACAGAAGTAACACCCACTTTTCACTATTTATGTTATGAGTCCCATGTAATAGGGGTTGAGCCTATTGCCACATACCGGGTTCATTTCCAGACTCCGTGCTACTACTGAGATTTTTTTTATATTCAAGTGATACTTTGCCCGACCCGGGAATCGAACCCGAGACCCCTTGCCCGGCAGCCGCACTTGCGACCACTCGGCCAACGAGGCAGTCTTTGTTAATATTCTATGAAATGTTCCTATATTGATCATGTTTAACTCGTCGAGTACCGTCATTATAGACACAATTATAGAACAATAGGTTGCGGTCACCGCTGACCGCGCGGTGTTTGACTTTGACAGTTTAATAGCTCAGAACAACTTAGTCCTATCAGCCTGCTACTCAACACATTCCATCGACAAATGATACTTAACTTTAACTATTACCACAGTTTTCACAATTCAATCCTTGCCAACTAGTCAAATTCAATACTTTTTTCGAACTGTCAAAAGCGACAGTTTTCTATGAATTTTGTACGAGATTGTGTATTGTGACGTCACGTTTTTTAGCGTCAAACAGAAAACTTATTTCTTTTTGCTGGAAATATACTAAAACTAAGTTGGTCATAAAATCAATTAATGAGAGTGTGATTATTTTTTTTAATTTTATTGTATTGATCAGTCTAAATAATTTATTTTTGACTAAGACAAGTACCTAATTGGGAGATTTTACTTTATTTTTTATCAAAAAATTTAATTTGTTTCATAGGGCAATGTTTTCAAGAAGTTTTTAGAAACAAAACGGAAAGGATAAGAACATTTTGTACTTAAAATCGCGGGTTATTCACGTGAAAATAGTGGGAAAAGCTTTACCTACTAATTTCGAACCACTGAGGGGTCGTACCTCATTTATTTATTTAGAGGGTCACCGACATAAATTTTTGTACTCGTGTGTTACCACTAACATAGTTTTTAAGTTTGTACTGTTTACTAACACTCTATGGGCCGTCGACGCCTGAAAATAAAAGATTTTTATTTATTATTTTTATAAATACAGCAATATTGCATTATATAATATATTTTTGACTTCAAAAATACTTTAAGACTATCTGTATTTACAATTATAGGTAAGCACAGCTATATGCATATAGCTTTTTAGCTTACATGAAAACAAAAAAGATAATACAAATTTGAAAAAATTGAGTATTTTTTTTTTTAGTAGAAAAATCATCGAATGACTGCTCCCGCCTGAGTGAGGCGAAAGGGAGTGTTTTTTTATGGCAAAAGTCGGTAAACAAGCAGACGGATCACCTGATGGTAAGCAATCGGCGTCGCCCATAGACACCTGTAACACCAGAGGCGTTACCGCGTTACAAGTGCGTTACCGGCTTTTTGGGGATTAGGATTCAGGAATTGGGGAGATTGAGGAAGGGGAGGGTAATTGGGCCCCCGGTAACCTCACTTACACGACGAGACGAAACACAACGCAAGCGTTGCTTCACGTCGGTTTTCTGTGAGGCCGTGGTATCACTCCAGTCGAGCCGGCCCATTCTTGCTGAAGCATGGCTTTCCCACACTTAAAATTACTCACACATCCACACATCCACACATCGACTGACTGCTCCCGCCTGGGTAAGGCGGGCAACTTTTAGTTAATTTATTTAGATATTTATAATAAAACATATAATTATGTTTATTTGTGTTTATCTCTGAAATATGTAAGTGTATCTATTTTATTTGCTCAATTAAATTGTGCGTGCTTGCTTCTTGCTCACACCATTAACTCTTCTCTGCATCATCCAAAGTTCAGACAGGGAGAAAATGCCTGCGGCATTAAGTCCACCTAATGACCAATTTGTGCATGAAACTTAAATCCTTACTAACCCTTACTAATATTATAAATCGGAAAGTGAGTTTGTTTGTTTGTTCCGCTTTCAAGCCGTAACTACTTAACCGATTGCTTTGAATTTTTGCAGACGTAAAGTTAGAAGTCTGGATTAAATAATAGGGTACTTTTTATCCCGGAAAAATGTGATATTCTCGAGGGAAAACAAAAGTATTGGTATAGATGGCGCTTTGTGTATTGGTGTATATGTCACATTGGCTTTGTATCCTTTTGTGACGCGAGCGAGGCCGCGGGTAAAAGCTAGTAAATAAATAAATAAATAAAAAACAAAATATTGTGACGCTACCAACCTGAATAACACCGGGTATTCCAGACTTCTCTTCAGACATAATGACTTAAATGACCATAGTTTGTTTACTAGATGATCACAAATATAACACAGATGGGAGTCTGGACACAGCTGGAACATAATTTTTGAAAATTATATCTTTTAGTTTGAACTAGCCAGGACTTTGTTCTCGTGGAATTGTGATTCACGGCTCCTCCCCCGTAGATGATAGCGTGATAATACATATCCTATATGTTGACCCGACCTGTTAGTAATATTCATGCAAAAATTGAAGTAAATCCATGCAGTACTTTTGGAGATCATCTCGGACATACTTACAGACAAACGGACAAAAATTCTAATACAATCAGGGGTAGGCACCACTGATTGTATTAGATTATTTAGATTCTAATTAGAAAGTAACAGGTAAGCGTTGTATTACGCTAAATTTCTGATTTCTAATTAAAATTTCGGGTACTACAAGACAGTAAACTACACAAAAATTCTAAGTTTCGTTAAAAATTGCAGATAAAACAGTAATTTTGTAAATAATTTCATTACGTTCATTCCGACGATTTCTCTGTACTTCTCTCGCGAATCTTCATTGGTATCAGAGTTCACTGTGTTGCGGCAGATAAAGCATAAGAACGAGGACATCTCTCATTTGAGTTTCGTAAATAGAATCCAATTTTTTACGTGTTTTCGTAAATATTTTTGTAAACAAAAAACTAGATCACCTACATGTGACAGGAGTTTTGAGTTGACATAAGAAAATCAATCAGTCACCTGATGACTTGTTTATGGTTTTATTGATGCATTCAACTAAATTATTCCAATATAATTGTAAAACAGGAAGCACTGTTTTCTGTAAAAGTAGATTATATCTTCCTTTAACGTAACTTAAGGAAATAAGAATATTGAAATATAAAATAATAATACACAGTGTATGGTTTATATTGCTTCCTTTTGTACTAAAAAATCCTTATTTTTGAATGCATTCAGAACCTACTTGTTTCTGGAAATTGCGTAATTAGGGTTGTACTTGTTTGTTGATATAGTTTTAGTAGAATAAGATAAGTCGACTAAACTGAATAAATGTTGAAGTTTGTAAGAAAATATAATCTTTATTTTGTATTTTTATACATATGGAAAACTATTATGAAGGACAGAATAGACCAAACAAATAAAAGTTTCATGTTTTCCATTTAGTCTCCTTGTAACAATATTTCAACAATATTTCTTTTAGTCTACTTTAGAATCCCAAAAATCGACTAATACTGAATACGAAACTTTTTCAAAGGCGCAGTGCAGCGCCACACGTCACGTCAGATTCAGAAAAAAGATAAATTTTGTGCCTTGAAGCATATTTCAATAAAAATTAACATTATTTCGACACTGTTATAAACAATACGGTCCCAATAATTGGGTCAATAAACTGTGCATTCCCTGTAGAACTATTGTGTTGTGCGTGTGTATTTTTCCCGTTTTTATCTGTGTTCGAAACGGTTTTGGTGTTTCTCAAATAAGCGGTTCTCAATTGTATGAATTGGCATAGGACTTTATAATTAGCCGTTTGCGTCGTCTCCTACATTGTGCGTGCCACAATTGCCGGACGTTTAATTCTCGAGGCTGTTATTTATTAGACAATCTTGTCAAGAAATGTGCGGTGCGGTAATCGTAGCGAATTTTTCGCGTCCAAAATATATTTGATGAACAGCGATATCAGTGATAACTGTAAGTATTTATTTAGTATTCTTTTTTTAAAAATGTTGGCTTCTTTTTTTTAGTGATGCGGTAATATTATATCACAAGGTTTTTTTTTAATTGAATTAGTGTCAATAGTATTAGGTCAGTCCAGTTCACACTTCACAGATTATGTTAAATAGATTTTAATATAGACCGCGCTTTTTGCGCGTTTATATATTTTGCGAATATTTTTTTTATGTACATAGAACATCATAAAAGACCCATTACCCATTATCATTTCTCATGGCCTTTAACCATGCATAGTTTCAATTTAAATGTTCAGTATTACAAAAACTATTATTCTACATAAATCTAATTGTTTACCAGTTACAGTAATATTATCAACTTAATAAAACTTTTAATCTTTCAATTTAAAATGTTTAACAATAATTCTGTTATCAATTCAATACGTTCAGTATTTTAACTCGTTGAGTACCGTCATTATAGACACAATTATAGAACAATAGGTTGCGGTCACCGGTGACCGCGCGGTGTTTGACAGTTTAAGTATTAAATAGGACTGTACTTGTGTGTAAAGATATATATTTTATTCCAACACATAAGTTTTATTTCTATGTAGGTACTGGGTGACCAATTTTTTTTCTGGGAATCACGACTGAGTTGTAATTGTAACTTCCTTAACTAAAATTAACTAATTTGGCAGTTAGGCACAACAAGTTTACTAGGAAAAAGGTTTATAGTGCAAGAGTAGGAACGGGATGGTTTTAAGTCAGTAAGAGTCACTTCCTCTCACCTCAGCTGGGCAGCAGAAGTCATTAGATGATTTTCTCCGCTCAAAAAAAGGCCCTCAATCCACACATAATAATTTAAATCTTCAGATTGTAGACGTAAATAATTACAAATCTTACTAACCAGATATTAGTCAGTCTAATTCCATTTCTTACAAGATATTTGGTAAGCCTTTGGTGTCGCCCATCGACACCTGGAACATCAGAGGCGTTATAAGTGCATTACTGGCCTTTAGAGGAATAGGAGTTTGAGGATTGTTGGGGATTCAGGAATTGGGGAGATTGGTGAAGGGCCCTCCCCTAACTGGGCCTCCGGTAACTTCACTCACACGATGAAACACAACGCAAGCGTTGCTTCACATCGGTTTTCTGCTCAGCCATGGTATCACTCCGGTCAATCTGGCCCCGTGCCGAAGCATGGCACTCCCTCACTTAATCTGTCCTTACTTATTCTGTCTATTTATGATATGTTTAACAGAAGTTAGTTTTCTAATGTAATTTCTTATACTGACAATATAACAAAGACTGACTTATATAACTGACAATACTGTCGTTACCTCAAATGCATACCTGTTTATAGAAACAAAATATAATTACTAGCTTAGTAGTTTCTGATAACTGCTTCATCCGCATCCTCGTGAGATGAAAAGTAGCCTTCGTTTCATTTCAGACCATAATATACCTTTGTTACAAATTTCCTACATTGAGACATTGTAGAACATACTTTTTTAAAAGAGTAACGAATGGAGTTTCTTGCTCGTTCTTCTCCATTCGAATCTACGTTTTGGAATGAGCACCTAGCTTCACCTAGGTTCACTGACGGACTGACTGACAGACTATTATGTATTTTGTATTTGTTGACGTTTCAAAAGTACCAAACTATGGTTTAATTGAAATAAATGCTTTGACCTACCGAAATCTTCAGCCGATTTAATGTAATTGAGAAACACACATAGACACAAAGATGAGCATTTTTAATATTAGTTACATTTCATTGGGGTATGTTTTTAAACATACTCACAACTCAGCACCAAGAACTTAATGGGTTATTCGATGATTTTCCCCTCTTAAAAAAAATCCAACAACACAGAAGATATTTCTAGTTTTATATAAAAAAGACTGCCTCATTGGCCCAGTGGGCGCAAGTGCGACTCCCGGGCAAGGGGTCTTGAGTTCGATTCCTGGATCGGGCAAAGTATTACTGGGTTATTAAAAATCTCAGTACGGAGCACGGAGTCTGCAAATGTGCCCGGTATATTATATGGCAATGGGCTCACCCCCTATTACATGGGAGTCGTAACATAAATACTGAAAAGTGGGTGTTACATTGTATAGTCGCATTAAGTGCCGTAATGTGCACCTATGCCTACCCCTTCCGGAATAAAAGGCGTCATGTTATGTGTGTGTCATCTAGTATTTCTTGAGTTTATTGCAAGCAAGCAGACGGGAAGTTTATTTTTATAAAATGCCGATGCGCCTACTCCTTCGGGGATAAAAAGGCGTGGTGTTATGTTATGTATAAAAAAAAATGCCATTCATTCTCACTGAATTTTTAAAATGATAATTTGGGATTGTGTAAACAGTAACGGATAAATGTTTGTATGCACAACTGCATATTACAAGGTTATGTGTTAATTCTTTGGCCAAAAAACAAATCAATAATATTAAAGTCTGGGACAGCCATGCTTCGGCACGAATGGATGGGTCGACCGGAGTGATACCACGGCTTCACAGAAAACCAACGTGAACCAACGCTTGTGTCGTCTTTCCTCGTGTGAGTAACGTTACCGGAGGTCCAATTACCGCGTTCGACGTTCTGTTTGGCCTGCTTCAATCACAGAAATATATGAAACACAGACAATAAAAAACAGACAGACCAATAAACAAACTTTTTTATTATATCTATGGCTCCAATGAGAGCGCCAAATGCGGTAGCATTTCTATCTCCTTAAACGTAAAACAAACTTACAATAAGGCAAGGAGTGCAAACTGACACTCCCTTCCGCCTCACCCAGGCGGGAGCAGTCATCCGATAATTTTCCACCCTTAAAAAAAAAAAAGGTGTGCAAAAGTGATAGTTTTATTTTAGTCCATTACAAAAATTCCGTAGCCCTAGTTGTAGTCGCGTTCCACGTGCACCTCATAGAGCCATCAGACCACCACAGATGGGGCCCAATAGGGCTGATGCCGAATCTGATACGGAGCCGCGGAGAACTTAACGGGTTACCGGAGCTCCGGCTCGAAGTGCAGGAGTAGGAACGGGGTGGTTTGTAGTCAGTAAGAGTCTGACACTCCCTCTCGCTTCACCCGGTTGGGAGAAGACATTGAATGATTTTCCCCCCTCAAAAAACAAATCCCTAGTTCTTAAGTCCAACAAAACGATCTGAGGCCTTAGTACGAGTTTCATTTACGTTTAAAGTATTCGAAACGAGTACGTGTTCGGCGCTCTGATTGGTTGGTTCATTGGCGCCTGCCAATCAGAGCGCCGAACGCGTACTCGTTACGATAATTTTAAAAGTAAAATTTTTTTTTTTTTTTAACGTATTTATTCACAAAAAAATATACATAAATTAGCTAATACATCAAAAATCGCCAAACTGTATAACAGTTTGTTGGCGATAGTGGCGCTCTTATATTATACAATAAAGTTACTTATAACTACTATTAATCTATATAAATACTATACTGTTAATGAATACATATTATCTTTAGTTTTTTCTTATGTCTAGAACAATTAACTTTTCTTTTTTTTTTTTAATACTTATGTATCTAACATATTTAAAAATTCCGTCTTTAGTCTTTTTTTTAAAGATAATGTACTTAGGTTACCATTATTATTTCTTATGAAAGATACTTTATTATAAATTAATGGGGTCAAATATTGCCTAGTCCTTTTCCCATAGTAATTTCTAACCTTTGGTATTACAAATTTACCCTGTGCAGCCTTCCTAGTATGATAACTATGTGTTACAGGTTCCTTATATTTACTTGTATTGTACTGCTCCATAGCTATAAGATATTCCACTTTGGTATGCAC